CAATTATTCATCCAAATAACGCAATCAACTTTATCTCTCAAATAACCCTCAAATCGTTTCCAACTAGTTTTGAAAAAAGGGAGAAGAGATGGAAGGAATAAAAGGAAGCGGGCTATCTTTTCAGTCAATTCATCATGTGCTGTGTCTAGTTTAATTTTGCTATGTGTTTTCATTTGTTCTCAGTTTTGGAGCATAATCGCTCGTTATCATATTGCTTGCACTAAAGCAGAGTTTGATAACAGCTTCCACACTGCATCAGCGTTTACTTTTGGCAAACTCATTGCAAGATGTGTCGGCACAAAAAAAAACCGTGTTTTTCGGCGGGTCAAAACATTCCTCATTATCAGGCAATTTTTTATCACAGTTTACCGGAATATGTAATTTGATAGAATTTCCGTGTTCTTAACAAGTTTTCGTACCAGCCTTTCCATGTGTTACTGTTATTCTTAGCATATTGCGGTCGCAACTACACCAAGGATGTTTCAAGAATTGACGCTAGAGTTAGATTTTGTGTGAAAAGACACTTCACTTTCAGTAATTCTTATTTGCTATCGTTGCTGCATGTAATGAAGCCATTTTTATTTGAACATCGATAACATCGCTATGTCAGGTAACATCTTCAATGAGGGATTCAGGATTTCGATGTGGACAACTTTAGCCCTGATTGTTCTGCCTAACAGTTTCTTATCGTCAGGTGAGGATTTAGCAGGGTCAATGAACACTATGAATCGAATACCTTTCCAATGGAATGTTGTTTATAACATACGAAATAATCCCTTACTCTTGCAACTGATTCTTCAAGAACTAAATTTCATCACGCTTCCTTGAGATTCAGAGGCCAGATGGAATGTATTAGGTCAAGAAGTGTTTCTATGGCATTTCTAAAACAAACTCGGTGCAAGATTTTTCACCGCTCCGTGACAAATTTTGTAACATCAAAAGCTCTCTCAGATACTTCTATAGCTCTCTCATTCTTTTCTGTGCAAAAGAGTTCAAGTCATACTCGAGAAGGGAATTTCCTATTCTCTGATAGACTATAACAGAAAGAGAAACCTAAATCTGAAGGCTGGGCGCAGACATTATTCTTGTTAACTTTTATACAACGGAATCTGAACAACGCTGACTTCTGGCCAAGCCCAAACACATTCATGGATTTTCCTGTTACGTCTTGTGTAAAAGCGTAGATCAATTATTCATCCAAATAACGCAATCAACTTTATCTCTCAATTAACCCTTCAAAGCGTTTCCAACTAGTTTCGAAAGGAGGGAGAACAGATGGAGGGGATAAGAGGAAGTGGGCTATCTTTTGAGTATTTCATTGTGTGCGTGTGTTTAGATTAATTTTGCTGTGTTTGTTCATTTGTTCTCAGTCTTGGAACATAATCGCTCGTTATCATATTGCCTTGCACTAAAGCAGAGTTTGATAACAGCTTCCACCCTGCATCAACGTTTCCTTTTGGCTAACTCATGGCAAGATGTGTCGGCACAAAAAAAAAACGGTTTTTTTTAGGGTCAAAACATTCCTCCTCCTTATCAGGCAATTTTAATCACAGTTTACCAATATGTAATTTAATAGAATTTCCGTGTTCTTGACAAGTTTTCGTACAGGCCTTTCCATGTGTTACTGTTGTTCTTAGCACATTGCGGTCGCAACTACACCAAGGATGTTTCAAGAATTGACACTAGAGTTAGAGTTTGCGTGAAAAGACTCTTTACTTTCAGTAATTCCTATTTGCTATCGTTGCTGCATGTAATGATGTAATTGTTGTAGAATGCCTGAACCTTACGGTCTCAACCAATCATATCGTAGAAAGATAAAAACCAACCGCGTCATCGTCAATCCCATTTTTCCCGTGCAACGGGAAGTCTACTCTGAGTTCTTATTGTGATATTTTCCTTTATTTTGGTTGATGGTTGTGACTAAACGAATTGTTCGGTTTGTTGCAGCATCTGTTGCGGCTCCTGGTATAGATGTCTATATTAGCAGTGCGGGTTGTGATGATCGACCAAAGACACCGAACACTTGTGGAATTGCTTACATCAAGGTGAACGGTGAGGATTATTCTCGTCACGGCAGAGGACATAATGTTGTTGTTGTGGACGGTGCAACAGGTGTGTGAACCACGGTTAATATTTTACTTCTAAATTCTTATTTATTACTAAGGAATAGCTCAATAATGGTGACTAGCAAAAAGCTCCTCTTGGCTCAGGCATGATCTAAGGGGCCCTTTAGAGTTTCTCAAGAAGTTTCATTATTTCTTGGAAGAATTGTGCGAAAAAGTTTCATTATTTCTTGGAAGACTTGTGCATCGAAGTGTGAATATTGTTGAATAATCCACGAGAAGACGACTAAGACGTTATTCGACCTAAAGAGACCACGAGGGTTTTTCTCACGAGCTCAAAATTCATTGAGCCCCAGACGAACAGTGTTCCAATGTAATTTAAGAAATGAATATTGTAAAAGATTCGATTTGTGTACAATTGTCGGTTCTCAAACTAGGCATATGTTTTTTTCTTTTTCTTTTTCTTATCACTCAGGTGTCATTCTTGATTCAAAAGTGTTCGACACATATGGGATTAAATCTGCCGGTAATAACCTAAGGGACTACCTCAACAGCATCAAAGGAAAGTACGTAATTTTATTTCAGGGCTAAGTTGATCGAAGACCGATTAGCACTAACCCAAGGTTAAATTGTAATCTGGTTTTCTTTATTCTTTTATTCGAAACTCCTTTTGGATTTAAAATTTTCTGTGTTCTTTATCGGGCATCAAATAGTCATATTCTAGACAAAAAGAAATTCGACTGAATTTTTTTTCAAAGCTCTCAGATCTGATTCTGGCTTATCTTAACCCAGCCCCGAACAACCCGGCCCTGGTCTGTAGATGTTGTTTAAAGGGTAACTGACGCCAATTTTTCTCCTTTTTTGTCCCAATACATTCCCCTCAGGTTAAAGAATCCTAAATGAGCAAAATAATGATATATTATGCAAAGTCAAATTTTCTACAAATTTTTTTCGGCGCTTAATCAACGGCCATTTTGAAAATGGTCCGATTCAGGTCACGTGATGTGATATGTCACACGTGTGTAAGGCAGCGAAAAGCATCACGTCAAGACCTAAAAGCAACAACTTCGTCCAAGCTGTTCAGCTGCTGCCGAAATTTACGAGCGGAAAAAAGACATAACTCAAACTTTAGGTTACTTTACTTTATTTACAATTCTACATGTGCGAATGTTATCTTTTGCTGCATCGTGTTTAAAAGTAAAAGCCGAGAAATCTTCAATCATTCGCCAAATTCAACAAAGGGAAAATTAAAACCGATTCAGTCGCGTGTGAATGTGTATAATCCATAAAATTCACCTCCACAAGCGTGTGTCTTTATATTCTCAGTCAGTAAAAAAACCTTAGCTTCGGAAGGTGCGTGCGTGTAACATAAAAACACTTCGCTCTCATGGTATTCAAGAGTCTGCACATTTGGCTTTCTTCACTTGATCGCTCCTACATTAAATCAGCGACTGATTTTCAGATACTTTATTTACAATCATAAATGCACTCACCATTTTCGCTTTCCTCATTGAGGCGGCCGCGACGCACGGGCTCTTAATCCTCTTGTGACTCTCGCGCTCGATTTTAGGTTACGTTTGTCCTGGCGGTTCCAGTTCCCAGACCCTGATTTCACCAACGGATTCATAAACCCTTTCACTATGTTCACCCTCCATCGACGCCTCAAAATCCGAATAATCAGACCCCGAAATAGAACTGCTTTCTCTCGAAGTACTATCCGCCATATTTACTTTGCTTAATGTATACACCTGTGACGTTAAGTTCACATGATCAAAATCGAAGCGTTTACGGCACGATGAATCACGAAGCTCCATTTAGGACAGTTTTCCCGGCGAAAAAAGGCACAAGGAGGCATACGAAACACCTTGTATCTGTTTCAATGTGTTACCCGAGGTATTTAGACGGTATTCCGAAAAAGTGACCTGTTAGCCGACAGTCACCATTTAATAATTTTAGCCTGAGCTAATCATACCTTTGAAATGATGCCTCACCATTTAACCCTTTAACTCTCAAGATCTGACTGTTAATTCTCACCTCTAGTTGCTACACATTTCCTTGTAAATAAGTTACGAGAATTTGGCGTTAGATCAAGATAACAACTTCTACCTGGTACATTTGAGTATTGTCATTACCTGTTTGCTGGATAGTGTATGGATATTGCAGGGAGAAGTTACTTGTTAATCACTTCTGGGAGTTAAAGGGTTACCAAAGATATTGCATAGAACACAGATGACGTCAAAACCAAGTGCTGACCTTTTTGTCCTACATTTCTGACCTTAAACTACTCTTTTTTTTGTCATTGTTTTGCTCTTTTTTAGCAAAATCGTTTTGGTCGGTGTTCAAGACGAAGGTTCGAGATATGCTTCATCAGCAGTTAGCGCTCTTAAAAGACTGGGAGCTAGTGATCCTGTTCTTGGAAGCTTTCGGTCTTCTTTTGCATTTGCTGGTTACGCAGGCACAAGACAACCATCCTGGATGTCGAAACAAAAGATACAGCAGTGGAAAGCGAGATATAATGGGCCCAGTCAAATAACTCTGAAAATTCCCCTCTCATCAAGTATGTCAAGTCAGTATAGTCTGTTGCACTTATGACGTAGATACCTTTAACCAACAGGTAAATCTCTAAGATCTCTTCGTCCTTCTTTGTTACTACAAGTTACCGATGTACATGAATCGGTGAAAAAAGCTTTATCTTTGGGTTCCAACTTGATCGACCGGTATTCCGAAAAAGGTGTCCTTGTTAGTTAAATTCAGCTCTTTTACTCAATCTGATTGAGCATTGATTGAGAGTGAAACGAAAAGGTGAGAGAGAACGAGTTTCATGGGCTGCGAGAATGGACATAACTACATGCAGTTGCGGAAACTTGTGACAATTTTTTTGTGCCCTCGAGCTCAATGAAAATAACCCCAACTAACTTTTTCTTGCTCGTAGGAGACTATAAATGTCAAAACCAAACTTTACAGGGACAAAAAGGCGTCATTCACTCACCTAACTATCCCGAAATATACCCAGATGGGCAATACTGCATGTGGAGGATCATGGTGAAAGCATCTTTTCAGGTGGCCTTAATGTTTACACGCTTCAGTCTACAATCTGAGAACAACACGGACGCTGTTTATGTGTACGATGGCAATGACCAGACAGGGAAGGTATTAGGAGTGTTCTATGGGGGTCAGCCTCCCCCCAAGAATGGAATTTATTCTTCGTCAAACAGTCTCCTCGTAATATTCAGATCAGATAAGAATGGTTCTTTCTATGGGTTCCAAGCCTCTTATAGCGCTGTCAAGTGTTCTGGTAAGAGTTTGTTGACTGACAGTATTACAAAATTACTTAGCACAATTTCAGAGTTTGAGATGTATCTTAAGAAGATCCCGAAGACAAAATTCTGATACAATCGAACATTTTACAGATAAATAATGCTTGACCTCTTCTGTTTGTTTAATTGGCAGGAGCCCTTGGAATGGAGGGTGGCGCGATTTCGGATGCCCAGATAACTGCTTCTTCGCGAATGAACAACAACAGCACACCAAGACAGGCGAGACTGAACTTCATTGAACAGGGAATCAAGCAAGGGGGGTGGTCGTCTCTTAAAAATGATCGTAACCAATGGCTTCAGGTGGATCTTGGCAGTCACACCACTGTGACAGGTGTGGCGACTCAGGGAAGGAACTCAACAAAATGGCGGCAGTGGATTGCAACTTTCACGTTACAGTTTAGTTTTGACGGAGTGATCTTCCAGTCATACAAAGAGCCAGGGAAAATGCCAGCAAAAGTAAAGCGTCTTTGAATTATCATTCTATGAATTCATTCTCTGAATGGGTTTTCCTTACAAATCTCTTCTTAAGAGGTCCCGAAAAAGAAAAGACTCCCCTGAAACATACCCACATGTACCATAACTTTATAGTATAACGTTGTCTGGCTTTTTTAGCATTGCATCGATCAATTAACACACCTAAAAATGTTGTGATCAACAGCATTGTGTCTGGGTTTGACTTGGCTAACTTTAACATAATCCAAAGATCGAAAGGAAAATTCGTTTTGGAAGATAAACTCAATTTTTTTGTTTGACAAAATGTTGGCATCATTATGAATCAGTGAAGTTTCGTCATAATCTGATAGACCTTTAAAATTACGATGTATGCATAGGACCAAATGACACTCCTTTAAGTTTATCAGTCTTTCCAAATTTTGTGTATATATGAACTGTCCTGCGAAAGCGAGGTATCTACTTGAGCTCAGCTGATTTTGGTTTTAACTATCAGGTACTTCACGCCAATCAAGACAGTGATACAGTTGTGTATAACAAGTTGATCTCACCAATCACAGCTCGTTATATCAGACTTTTGCCAGTCACGTGGTACAACCATATATCACTCAGAATGGAGCTATATGGGTGTGGAGGTATTTCATGACATGATGGTATTTTAAGTAGAGAAAAAAATCACTTTTGGTGTCACAAAAGAAACAAAACTGTTTAGTTTTTCTGGGGACGCCAAGATGGGTGTAAAACACCTTTGAACCTAGAAGGCAAAATTTGATATGCAAACAAAATAGAGTGCGATTAAAACCGACAAAAGAGGCAGGAAAAGAGCCAAAAAACCAATACATCAAGGGAAAATAGTGTACAAAACTTGTTAAAGAAAGAAAACCTAAAAAAATAAAATGTTCGAAATCATGTTAACACGCCTTTCATGTTTCTTCTAAATTATTTTCCTGTCAAGGAGCGAAGAGAATCTTAGTATCTTATTTCACTTTTGAACTCTTGCTTAAAATCTATATTTTGTAAAAACCATATGGAAGTGTTTGAAGTAAGGGTTTAGAGTACTGATTCTTCATAATTTTCAGAGATTAGCCTATGATCTTTGATCATGCAAGATTTGCTTCTAAAACTTGTACCCGACTTATCTTCATCCTAATAGATTAGAGGGAAAGATTCTCGTTTTGAAAGGGATGTTATAGCACCTTTCTTGAGTTTCCTTTCTGATTAAACTCATTCAGGTTGTTCCTCACCACTTGGCATGGAGAGTCAGGTTATCTCCGATGCCCAAATAACCGCCTCCACCGAATGGAATAATTACAATTCTGCAAAATTTGCACGGTTAAACTTGGGCGGCTGGGTTGCCAGAGCAGTTGATCCTAGACAGTGGCTTCAGGTGGATCTTGGAACTTACTCAAGCGTAACGAGTGTTGCAACTCAAGGAGTGAACCTACGAGGCTGGCGAAAATGTTGGACAGCCAGTTACAATCTGCAGTACAGCGACGATGGAATAACATTTCATTTTTACAAAGAACCTGGAGGAACTCTTCCAAAGGTATATCCAGAAAGTGGCATTGAAGTGAATTTGAAAATGCCCTTGACTTATTTTAAAAAATACTTTTTTATGGTTCCATGATTATTGCGGTCTGAGCTGGGTTTCCTGAGAGAAGTCAATCACTATGTTATCTCTTTCTGCGTCATGCCATGTAGAAACCTTTATATTTCAAAGTCACTTACGCAGTCGTTACGGCAGTTATCGGTGCATGCTTCGTTTTAGTAGAGGGAGAGCACTTTTCCTCTGTTCTTTCTATTCTTCTTCCACCAAACAAAATAAGAGTTAAGTCTTATTTGTAACAATAGTTTGAAGAAATACAAAAGTCGATAATAAGTTATGTCATGCTTCATGATCATTTTACAGGTGCTTAGTGGAAATCAAAACTTCCACTCAGTTGTGTTAAACAAGTTGAGGCAACCAATTACAGCTCGTTACATTCGATTCAAACCTTTACTCTGGAAATATCGAATTGGAATGCGAACCGAGATCCATGGTTGCCTAGGTATTGTCAAAATATTATTTTATTCAGGGCATGTTGTCAAGAATTTATTTTCCTTATGAGGAAGGAGGGGAGCTCTCAACAAGTTTGAGGCCTAACAGGAATAGACTCTGTTAAAAGTTTGATATTTCAGAACTGTTTGAAATTGTTTCACAAATCACAAATTTTTGATTATAGACTAAAGCCATGCTATCAAATCAGTAATTAAACATACATTTTTGCAGCTGCAAAAGTCATATATAGTATAACGAATAAGGACTTGGCTTCGTAATTATTTCTCTTGAAAATATGAATTGCCTTTTTCTCGCTGGAGGAAAGCTACTTCAATTTTAGTATCCTTTACCTGTCATAGTGTACTCTCTCTAATTTGTTCATCAATAAACTGAGGGTATTCGTAACGGTGATCACGTGATCTGATCATGGAAATTGCGCTTATGTTTGAAAATTTTTAGTTGAGCCAGGACGCATTTTTATAAAGTATCAAACCGTGAAAGACGCTTGGAAGCTAGATTGTAGTTGCATGCTAATGAGAAGCTTCTTGTCTAATGATAAAAATTCAAAATTCATTAATTACAGAATGCACTGTCCCTCTTGGAATGGAAAGTAGGTCGATATCTGATGCGCAAATCACTGCTTCCTCGCAATTGGATGGAAACCACCCCGCAGTACAAGGCAGGTTGCATTTTCAGACCGTGGGAAACAACGCTGGGGGGTGGTCGGCTCTTACAAGCGATGCCAACCAATGGCTTCAGGTAGATTTTGGTAGTTACACTCATGTGACCCAAGTGGCGACTCAGGGGGTGAACGGAGTTGATGAATGGGTGACCAGATACAGGTTGCAGTTTAGTGATAATGGAGTGATGTACAAGTTCTACCAAAAAACTGGGGACACTTCGGTCACGGTAAGGCTTATCCTCATTTAAAGAATTTTATCAACTGAGCTAACTTCCAATAGACATAATTGTTTTCATAAATGAAAATATACATCTGCAAATACTGTAATTTAATGTTTACACACAGTATGAACAGGATATAACCACGGGTAAGAGACCATGGAAGCACTGTTAGTGTGCCAACGCAAAACTATTCATTTATTTCATTAGTTATTCATTATCACCTGTTATTTCAAGTGCAATTCTGAAAGTAGAGCCGGCTAAAAAGGACAAACGAACAAACCAGCAATAGAGTAAGTCGTCGCAACTCAGACTTCAAATTAGATCTTAATTTGACTGTGACATTAATAACGATTTTCAGGAGTTTAAGGGAAACCAAGATCGTAACGAGGTTGTGTATAATACACTTCGTCCGCCACTCAAAGCGCGCTATGTCCGCATAATCCCAACACAATGGAACAAACATATCTCCATGAGGATAGAGCTCTTTGGATGTCCAGGTAATTGAAAACTATTGGTGGCTTTTAAAATATTTTCTTGTTGGGTTCTTCTTATCGTTTTTCACAGGACATTGATGCAAAGCAAAATTACTTGATAGTGAAAAGGTTACTATTAGGGTTGACTCAAATCTGTCGCGGCGGTTTGTTGTTAACCGCTCCACGGACTAAATGTCGACCAAAGATCATCCAGTTGGGGAACTACTTTATAACATACTTCTTCTGAAGCTTAGTGGAAAAGTTGTCGATTGCGTTCTTTGACTAAGCATAATCATAACTGGCTGATTTAAACGAATTTAACCATGACACGATCAGACGTTTTTCGGATCCGAGATGAGGTCTTACTTGAGCCATTGACGAAATAATTCATATGACGCTTCCTAAAAATGAGAACTGTTTGAATTTTTCCAATTGAAAATGAAGGAATAAATAAGTTCCTTAAATTTCCCAAACCAATCGTAACTTTGGTACATTTACAAAGAAGCCTATCAACATACATACAAATAATAAAATGATAGTGTAGGAGAATGGAAGGGAAAGAAAGGAAAGATGTCCTCAGCGTTTTGTCGAAAAGTATGACTCGACAAAAAACACCAAATTACAAATCATGTACTCAGGCTGGGAACTTCACCGAGTAAACTAAGTTAGGATGATCAATTGTTGTTTTCTCCTTTAGATTGCATTGCACCCGCTGGTATGGAGAGTAGACTGATCTCCGATGGCCAAATCAGTGCATCATCACAACTGGATGATAATCATGCACCACATCGCGCCAGACTGAATACCAAGATAAGTGGAATAAAGCAGGGCGGTTGGCTTCCTCTTACAAATGACCGTAATCAATGGCTTCAGGTGGATCTTGGTAGTTACACTCGAGTTACGCGAGTAGCGACTCAAGGGAGGGATGGCTATGACGAGTGGGTTACTTCCTTTCAGTTAGAGTACAGTATTAACGAAATCACTTTCAAGTCTTACATGGAAATTGGTGGTGGCCACCCCAAGGTACGAAGCGCCAACTAATTCAATGCAGAGCTGCCTTGAGAATTATTGGCGTGGTCAAAATACTTCGGAAATAAATTTATATAAGATATTTTATAACTCTATCAACGCTTATTTGCACATGCATGACAAAAAGTACATAGAGAACAACTCAAGCGGCGTTAATTTTCTCGCTATTGTTGCGATGTAACGAATTTGTATCGAGCAAAGGAAAGTGGCTTTCTGACCCAATGAGAGCAAAGGCCATCACTCACTGTAGATCTCAAGGGATGGTTTCCAGCCAAAGAACCTGACGAATAATCGAGTATTTTCCTAAGCTGTACAAACTTCCACTACAGTGTGTCATTCAAATATATAACAAAAGGCAGACGCAGAACTCTTTTCTTTCATTGTTAATCATCCGCAAGCCTTACGCATCATTTTTCCTTGATGCTTTCTGTGTTTTTCTCGCTTAGATATTTCCCGGAAATGGTGATAGTGAAACTGCTGTTTTCAACATTCTTAAACCTCCAATCACAGCACGATACATAAGGATCTTACCCATAGCGTGGTATAAAAACATAGCGATGAGAATAGAGATCTACGGTTGTACAGGTAACGTTTTAACAGTAACAAATGATGCCAATAAAAAATCAAATTGGGGTGCCTTTTAACAGGCCTTTTTTACCTCATGGTATGACGTTAGTTGTACTGTAAGTTTTTATTATGGAAGGAAAATTCACTCATTCACTAACTCACTAACCCTATTCTCTGATCTGTTAGACAATTAATGTATGCATTAAAACTTTGAGTAAATACGTCATCTCCTACCTCCCCGTTTTAAGCTTACCTTTGTCCCCAATATTATGCTATTGTCTTCTGTTCAAATACCTAGGGGTTGACACTAGGTGCGAATTTTTGCCTGAGTACACGGAGTTATCAGCAAAGTTCAAAATGGCTGAAATGATCGGGCTGATTTTTCTTTCTTTTCGCTTTCTATCTTCATTTGGTCGCGCCGCGTGAGCAATTATAATTCTTGTCTTCAAATTGATTTTCACGTATCTCTTAACCATATGTTGCTGTTTTAAGGTTATGATTTCATTTATTTTACCTTTATAGCCGATTTTATTCTTTCTTCAAGTTGATTTTGCGTATCTGTTGCGGCTATATTTTACGCTTATTTATCATGTTTTGAGATTTTATTGATTTCATTTAATTTGATCGTTCGCCTTGCGAGCTACTTCGTTACTAGGGAGTAAATCTTGCTTGTGCACGGATTGAATTTGCCATCGTGTACAAATAGTTTTGTCACTGACTGTGAATATATGAAAATCATATTTGTAAACTCCGGTTTAATTAAGAAATTTATATGAATACTTCTGTTTTAGTAGTGTTCATTACTACCAAGATCGCTTTCATATTATATTTTTTTTTTCACTGTTTGGCCGTCAATTTATGTGATTTTTAATTAATTGCCGTCTTGGTTTACTTTTGGCTCCAAGTTTTGGTACTCTGGTTAACGCTTCTAAATTGGTAATTTAAGGGTGCAACTTGCGCTATTGGAAGAATATGGCAAAGATTTACAGTTCTCACCACTCAAATGAATAATTAAGACATACCATGAGGTAATTCCTCGAAGCCTTTGATTTGAAAGTATACCGGCGAATAAAGAATTAGTTTTGAAGTAAGATGATAAATACCAAAAATTATGCAGATGCAAATGCAACATCGCTCAAGAAAGTGGAATTACAGTCGGATACCAATAAACTAGAGCCTTTTCAATTCACTTCTTTGACATTAATAGATATTATTTTTACCATCCTTTACACTCTTTTCATTTTCGCGACACTTCCAACGTTGTTGATCCTAGCACGGTACGGGACTCGTCTCATATCAACCTAAAAATGGCGTAGCTCACCACATAGTTCTCTAGAGCTCAGTAGCACAGTATCGGAACGAGATGTATATATAAATCTTGATTATAGTCTATCCTTATATATGCGAGGTTCTGGAACTCGATTCTTCGAAGAAAACCCAGACTTTTTCTCTTTTCCAAGCTCCTGACGAGCCGAATGACCTCTTACTCAATTAATTTATGTTCACCTATTTCAGTGTGCAGCACACCTCTTGGAATGGAAAGTGGGGCAATCAAAGATGCACAAATAACCGCCTCTACACAGTGGGATGACAATCATGCCCCATCAAGGGCCAGGCTGAATTGGAAGTTGACTGGAGTAAAGAGAGGAGCCTGGTCAACTCGTGTACTGAATCTCAAACAGTGGCTTCAGGTAGATCTTGGCAGCTATACCATTGTGACCGGTGTCGCGACTCAGGGGAGGAATGCACCCCGATTACAGCAGTGGGTGACCAAGTACAGGTTGCAACACAGTACTGATGGAGTGAACTTTCATTTTTACATAGAAAAAGGCGACAACTCATTCAAGGTATTTTCGTTTTCTTGGTTTTAATGTTTGGTAACAGACATGGGTGATAAAGAGTGCGAAAGCCAGCCACGGTAATGATGTTAAAGAACTTCTACCGGTGCCAAACAAAATTTACTAATTCTAAATGCAATACGTTTTCCAGAGGAGAAAAAAAAACATTCAACTATACGGAAACATCCGAAAAGGTGAAAAAACTGAGAAAAGAATCAAAAGCTAACTTTAGAGATCATGGTGAACTATGGAAGCAGGATTGAATATTTGACGATCCAACTAAATTAAAGGTGTCAAAGACGAGGAGATTTGAGAGGAAAAATTCCAGCCGAATATGCTTTGAGGTTTTCCATCATAATTAAATTTCCTTCTTAGCCACCTTAAATAAAAAAACAAATCCGGAAAAATTAATTCTCCATAGTAAATCGATTCAGATTCGTTACAAGTTAAACTTCATTCATCTTCTGAAGAATCAATCCGGTTATAAAAGACTTCTCCTCGGCTCTTTAGTGAGTTCCAGAAGTCAGCATAAATCTACTTGTCACAATGTCTCCAAAGAATGAGAGATGATGATATTTTCTTCAGGTGTTTAGTGGTAATCAAGACCGAGACAGCATTGTTTACCACAAATTGGCAAGGCAAATTACGGCACGTTACATCCGGTTCATTCCAGTGGAATGGCGAAATCACATCTCTATGAGAATGGAAATCTATGGCTGCGCAGGTACATCGCGGTGTATCTCATTGTTGCTGTTGTAGTAGTTGTATTAATTTGTACCCATTTCATATATATTAGTTGTGAACTTAATCTTTCAAAGTGTTATTCGCATTAACTTCAATAATGTAATATTTAAGGTTGAAACATTCTGCATAAAATATAATGGCTGAAAGAAATGTCCTAACTACATGTTACATGAAGTTGAGAATTAGAACTAATATACAAATTAGCAAATGCATTAAGGGCAGCTCTTGTAGACCACATCTCTGATTTTTTAGTCGTCATGTTTTACTCCTCAAACGAATACTGCTGCTGATTGATTTGGTATTCTGTCAGTTGTAAACCTGCTTTTTTAGAACATCTGGTTATTCACGTTATCCACCCTTTTTTCTACTTTGCAGGGGAAAGTCGTCATGTTTTACTCCTCAAACGAATACTGCTGCTGATTGATTTGGTATTCTGTCAGTTGTAAACCTGCTTTTTTTAGAGAAGTCATCTCGGTTATTCACGTACGCTATCCACCCTTTTTTCTACTTTGCAGGGGAACCAATAAATTAAACTATGCAGTGAACAAAATATACGATGATCGGTAAATATCTAATTTAAAAACACTGAGAATTGTGGCATTTTAGTAGAAATGTTTATTGTGGTCCTTTCTTGCTATACACTCGATTGCATAACCATTGACAATCAATGATGAGACCCAAAAGCTTTATGGGTACATAAAAACATGAACGACATTGTTTTGCACGTGGTATATGATGGAAGCCACACTCACTTTCCTGACAGAAAACAATTATCATGCACAGAGGTTTGCCATGAATCATGGAAATTATGTAACATTTCTCATAAAGTTTTTGGGTATCAACGTTCACGGAACATGTTGTTTAGGAGTCAACGTTTTTGCAATCGCGTATAAACAATGCACAATACGTACACCAACCACAAAAACGTGCAACGCGTCGGTTTTCTTAACAATCTGTGGTTCAATTGTTGACTAATGGTAGATTTTCTACAGAGTTTGCATAACGTAACGAGTGACCTATCAGTATTTCTTTTAGTGTTGATCTTCATCACGCTTTAACGTATTAATAATGATAAATTATTCACTCGCCAGAAGGTTGACAGACATAATAAATCAACTAATTTACTCTCAATATAAGAAAAGTCTTAAATGTGATCAGATGTTTATTGTAAAATCAAAGAAACAGTGGACCATGCTTAATAGTCTTTATGTGGACCTCAGTAAATCATCCGGTTACCAACTCCTCAGCGAAGAAAACTTAAGTTGATGAGAATAGGTAATTTTACTCGTAATAATAGTGCGCATTTCGATCGAGAGTCGTAAAACAAAAACCGAACTAAGTAATACAATAGCCAATCAGAACAAAGGAAAATATCACAGGCAACCCAGGACAACTCAAAGCAAACAGGCGAACTACCCGAGACGTGAAAATTTGGTGAGTAAGGAAAGCGGCGCAACCGAAACAAACCCGGGTTACTACCGACACTCACCTGTAAATTTCTCAGTCTATTACACGGAAGACTTAGAAGTCCCAGAACTGCATTTGTGGAGATATATCAAAGCTATAGTTATTAACAGTGTTATATTTTTCTATCTGATAGGGATGCGGTGGTGCCTGACTGAAACTAAAAAACTTAAGCAGCAAGGATATATTTTAGCCTATTTGTGTTTTAAGAAATGTTTAACAACAACAAAAACAAATCCTCTGAGGACTTTAATCATTTTTCGAATAATAGTCCAAGTAAAAAACGCCACGCGAAAGTAACAGGTATTATTTTTCTTAATAGTTAGAGGAGAATTAATTAAGTAGCCAGTTTTTGAATGTGCAAGTATTTTCTCTGAAAAGATGGTCAATTTAAATAAGTTTGTTGCTGTCTGAACGATGTGAGTTTAAAGCAGTGGATGATTGCTGGCTCATAGAGCAGTTATCGATTGAGTGTCGTAAGCCGAAAACCAAAGTTATCAACAACCAATCAGAAGATTAGAAAATACCTTTAAAAACTAAAGAGAACTCAAACATGTCTATGTTACTTGAATCCAAAACTTCTCTCCACTACAAAGGTGATATCCAAGGTTGCTCTTTCCACCAGTAAGAGATTGTTAAAGGAAGGTTTTACAAACAAACGAAATGAATCATTTTTGATATGCAAATAAGTGATTGTAGAATAAAAAATCCTGAATAAATGAACACTTTTACACGGTTCAAACCGGTGCCTCTTAGACATTTATTGAGTGTTACTACCAACATGGACACGAAGCCACATGTTAACAGCGAGGCAAGTGTAAGTGTACTCTTTGTTTCCCATATTATCCAATTTCAATCCAATTTCCACATGCAATAGCTAAAGACATCGATTTTCATAACACTTGGCACTATTCAAAACATGTGGGTCAACTAAAGCAATCAATTTCGTTCAAAACCCCCCTACATTCATAGAAACAAGTTTCATAAACTTTCTTAAACAGAAAAACAACCTTACTCCTGCAAGTCCTATGGTAATTTTTGTCAACTTGAAGAAATGTAGCAAACGTGATAATCTATGGTAAGTATCACCTAGGTTCAAAGGTCACGTTTTACTTCATTGTCGTCCATATTGTTAACATGTGGTTTCATTCTTGTGGAAACGTGATATAGTTTGGAAAACTCTTTGGTATCGTTTTACAGAGTGGATTGAGTTTTGTAACGTTTCTCCCGATACAGTTTGGGCTCTTTGAAAACTTTTCGAAGCTTCCGGCGAAAAAATCGAGTCTCCGAAATCCTGCGATATTAATTAGCTAAAAACAAAAACACAGCATAGTGACCTTGGTGCTGGCATACGGTCATGATTTGTCCAGTTTAATCCCCACTTATGATATCAAACTCTCCCCACCAATTGCCGTGCATTACTTGTAATTCCAACTCAGAGAATGTGGTATCAAATCGAACACTATCCTCCTAGTTGATAGTTTACTTTCTCTTCGTTGTCTTTCTACTTGACAATTTATTGCTTACTTTAAGGGGAAATTCCCACTTGGCCACTCCTGGTAGTGGCAGGGCGTTAAGCCCATAGTCCAGAGTTAGTTCCCGATCATATTTTGTTCACAAGTTAGTACTTCCAAGAAACTAGGCAATACAAACATCAATTCTAAAAATCAGTCATAAACCCCTTCAGGTGGCTGGTAGATGGAAAGGTGACTTTTTACACCAGTATTTTTTCTGCTGGATTTTTCTCTTTTCAACAGAAATAATCGAAGGACAAAGATTTACATAAGTGGGGGTTATTACCTTGTATATGCACCAACTGATGCAAAATAGCCAGTAGTGTCATGCAGAGATTAATGGGTGAATTATAATAAAGAAATAAAAAACGCGCCGAGTGCATTGTTAAGTTATATAAGCACGTGGGAATTTTAAAGAACACGAGAGAAGTGGGGAGAAGCAGGAGCCCCCATCTGAAAAACAGTAGTTATAGGATATTCTTGCCTTCCAATAATGCCCCCCTTCTTCAATGACCCTTGTCTACTCTGCCCAAGGAGGACTTAATATACAACAAAACAATCTCAAGGATGCCAGTGTGAAAAAAGTGCAGAATCTCTAGGAGAAAATTACGTCGTGAAATTCCACCTATACATGAAATTCAATCTCAATACTAGTGAAGTCTGTTGTATCTATGTCAAGAAATTTATACTGTGTTGAGTGGCTGCAGTATATGATGATGTTCTGTTTCTGGTTTAATAGTATGTCTCTTAGGGCCTTTGTGTTCCGTCTGCCTGTACTAAGGAGGATATTGCCTTGGGTGTTGGCATCATTACCAAAGGTTAGTTCTATATCCTTACCTTGGGTCTTCATACACTTGTGGAATGTGTTGGGAACATTTTTAAATCACGATCTAAAGGCTATAATAAACAGACAACTTTACTTTTGAATGTTGCTCTCATGGCTGAAAACTGCAGAAAAACCCCTCACTTCCAATTCCAGAGAGTAAAATCATCCTTCATGGACAGCTTTTTTTAACCTTGATAAACTTAACCATAGAAATTTAGGCTAATGTGTTCCTGAGCTATTGTCACTTAAAAAAGTTTCATGAATGAGTTGTGATTTCTCGTGTATCTTATATGGGCTTAAACATGACGAGATGCAGAAAAAAAATTAATGCTATCTCTTTTGAATAAAGAGAGCAAACTTAATCTATTGATTATGGATTTTAATTGTGATAGCTACTGTATCCTCATCTACAGCAACCATTTTGAATCGGTAATTGGAACCCAAGGATAGCTAATCAAGAAAAAATTTATCGTTGCCATTAAAAATTTTAGTATACATATACTTCTTACTTACCCTGGCTTCAAATTCCAATGAGTGACAAACATATAAGCTTTAAAAAATCTTCCAACGTTAATTTTCAAATATGGGTTCTACCATTTTGAAAACAACTTGGCTTTAATTTGCCAGTTGAATTTCCCATATGTATTTATCAGAACCATATAGAGCGCATTTCGATTGACTAACGTTGAACCAGAACTGAAGTAATCACAATAGCCAATCAGAAGAAAGGAGAGCTTCAGAAGGAGCCAATGAGAACTCACGTAAAACAAGCAAACTGCTTGAAGCGCGAGTAACAAAATCGCCGTTGGTTTTCATTTTGGATCTGATTGGTTGAAAAAGTGACGCGAGTTCTTTGGACCAATCACAGCGATATGAAAGAAAACTTGAGCAGTCCCGGTTAGTTTCGACACTAAAATCTCGTAAAATTAGAAAAGAACTTAACTGCTGCTTTCAAATTATCTCATGTTGTTTTGTCATGTCTTTCAGAGCAAGATTCCAAGACAAGTAGAGTGTCTTGTCGGTTGGTTTCTCGGTATTGCACTGGGTGTTTCAGCTGCATACGGTGTGTATACATCTTACAAAGAAGACGGCCGGTCTTTCAACAAGGCTGAGAATATCATTTATGGCACCTTCAGTCGCTTTGTTTGGGGTCTGGCCCTCGCTTGGGTTATCTATGCGTGTAACAAGGGTTATGGAAGTGTCTCACATGT